AGAACACTAATTATAACTCCGAGTTTTAAATCAGTATGTATTTACAGTAACATACATAAATAATACTTTAAAAAATAGATATATATTATTTATCATATCGCGAACATGTTAAAAAATGAAGGTTTACTTTCTGAAGAAATGTCTCAAAAATCCTTTAATCATAACTATCATGAAGTTTAAAATGTCAAGAAAGCCTAAACTAATTGCATGCATGAAAGAGTGTATGCGCTTACTCTTTTTAGAAATTGCATATATTCACCTTAATGTTAATAAGGAATTATGGGATTCAATAATTGAATACTACTTTTAGTACTGTAGTATTAACCTGTTAATGCACTAACAAGCATTTATGTTAAACACATTTTGCCAAATTTGCCAACTTTATTTAATAAAAATGTATATATTAGTATCGTTTTAATAGAATACATGATGATTTCTTAAACGTCTTGTAGGAACGTCTTGTAGGCAAATTTGCCTGCAAATTGCCACAAGCGATATGTGATGCGATATGTGATATGTGATGGATTTATCTAACTATATTAAATTATTGTACATGTTTATAATGTTCGTGAGGATAATGAAAATTATAAAAAACGTAGGATAATGAATGTTTTTTCTGTTTTACATTCTATTCTATTTTATAACCTTAAGTTATAAAAGTAAAATATATAATTGAGGATTTAGAAAGATCAGTTGCATATATAAAAGTAAATACGTAGATATTAAAGATCCAAGGAAAAAGAGAAACATATTTAAGCTTATTTCCTTAAAAGTTCTTTAATGAAAAAAAAAAATAAATTTCTTATCAGAAGCGTGATCCTGAAATAATAAAGTCCGGGAATTGAACTGCCTGATTTTCTGCTTCTTGTTCTCTAGCATTACTAGAAAACGGATCTGCACCTTTAGTAATATCATACATTTGTTCGGCAGTTACAGGAATATTAGGTGCTAAAGGTTGACCTCCAATTACTTGATTTACAGGAATATTGGCGTTTTGGGGTGCTAAAGGTTGACCTCCAATTACTTGATTTACAGGAATATTGACGTTTTGAGGTGCTAAAGGTTGACCTCCAATTACTTGATTTATAGGTTGATTCATAATAGCAATTTTAAATTTTTTATTAAAGGTTTATGACTTAAAAAAAAAAAGCGAAAGCAAAAAACCCGGGTTTTTAAATAATTTGTTTTTTTTTTTTTATTTTTTAATTTTTTTTTTTTTTTTTATTCTTTTAATCTTCAAAGGTGTTCTTTTTAAATAATTTTTAGATACACAAAATGATAATTATTTATATTCTAACGATTTTTTTTAAAAAAAAAATTATAAAGGGTTTTTTTGTTTATATATATATATATTTTTAATTTATTAAGAGTAAAAGAATTTTTTTTTTATTCGAAAATAAGGAAAAGAATAGTATTATATATATTATTTTTGCGAATTAAATAAAACTATATACATACGAATCATAATTTACAATTACAATGGAATTATAGTAAAAATTATTTATTTGAAAAAAAAAACCCGACATCCGGCCAATAGCTGACTAAAAGCTAGTCATTAGCTGGCCAATAGCAGGTTAGAGACTTATTTAATACTCAATCTTATATTTATTTAACGCCAAAAAATTAACATGCATGTAGAAGATCACTGGATCAAATGTGCCATACGTGTGTAAATGTGTGTGTAATCTATAGCTTATCATTCATTCATTCATTGTATATACAGTATATATAAAAAAAAAAAACAGTAATACGTTGAGTAAAATAAAAAAAACAAATAATAATAGGGCAGGATGAAACCTGAGTTGAGGTATTAATTAGGGCTAGTAAGAAACGACTTTAATGATCTCTAGGTCTTTTTTTGACAATATTTGTTTATTGGTGAATGCGTTTATCCACCTAACTAATTAGGATATAGTGAGTGGATTACGTTAAAAAAATTCAGATTTTGATAAAAAGTCAAATAACTAAAACAGGAATAAACTTGCGCCAAAAACTTGCACTCTGTCGTATAATATGTAATAATAAATAAAATAAATAATAGTAGCATGTATAAAAAAAAAAAAAATAAATAAATAATAGTAGAATGTATAAAAAAAAAAAAAAATTAATTGCCGGCATAAATAAAACAGGTTTATATATATGTACAACAACGGTTAAATAATTACAACGTACATATCATAACTTATATCCAATATATAAATCAATTTTAAGTACAATTTAGAACCCATTATGACAATCCAAGCATCATACAACATATATTAATCAAAATCGGAAGGTTGGTCGAAGCACAAGTCATCAATTACCCAATATGTACAAGTCACTAGATGACTACTGCAATTTACCTACTAGATGCCACCGCAATCTACCGTTAACTACTTCCATGTCTCAACTCACATAACTACACATTACTACACATAACTACACATTACTACACATAACTACACATTATTACACATTACTACACAATATTATTTAAACCGTAATACGAAGTGATCGGTTTGAGAAATGAGGAAAAAAAGTAAGGTGATGCGAATTAAATAAATGATATTGTGGTCGGTAATGCCAATCAAAGAAACTCATCAGACGCAATGATACACAATAAAAGAGAAATTAACAAGTTAGTTGTCAGATTAAAATTTAGTGTTACGATAAGTTTCTTTAGAAAATTGATTGATTAGCCTTCAACAAGGTGCATAACGATTATAAATGAAGTATCAATAAACCTGAAAATCGACAATAAATACAATAAATACAATAAGTCAAGAAGATGTCCTTTCGTGGGAAGTTCAACCGAATCGCACATTTCGCCAATCAACATAGTCGCCAATCGACTTTGAGAATCAGCCTAGCCTAGAACTCTTTATTCGTTCACATCATTAGAAATAAATTGAATTATATTTATTAGAATTACATTAAATTTTTTATTATTATTAAAATTTGATGTACAATATAAAACGATAAAAATCATTTAATAAAACCGTTATTGCATATTGCAATAACTAATAAAGCTCCAAAAGTTTAGAACGGTTACACAAAAAATAACAAAATTTTATACAAAAAAAATAAAATAAAATAAAATAAAATAACGTAATAAAAAAACTAATCATAATATTAATCATTAAATTAATATTGTTTTTTTGCGCTGATTTTTGTGTAACCGTCCTAAACTTTTGGAGCTTACAGAAAAAAATTTACGTATGAATAATGGACATGTGAAGTTTTCATCAGAGTTAATTTCATTCATATGCTGTTACACAGCACATGAGTGAAATTAACTCCGATAAAAAAACGATAATACTATTCTCTAACATTAATGATTTAAATTCTTAAAATTGCATAAATAGTTCTTCTGTGTTGATCATCTCCACATTTTTTGACCGTCCACAGAACAAATAATATTTTATCAGATTTATTACTTCAATCATATTGTCCCTTTTTCTTTCTTTCTCTTATCTCTTACTGAATAACTGTACCCCAACATGATGCAATGCGAATGTAATTGATTCTATATGAAATGAAATTGGCGGTACCCCACATTTTTTTTGCATTGAATGACCTTAGTCGTAACTCTCCTTTCTTTTTTTTTCTCCTAAAAAGGTTAAAAAATGTATGCGAAATGCAGCCTTGTACAGTAAACCTTTAAATTACTAATTTCATACGATACTATCCTCTCTAATACTACTTACGTATTATTGGCCTAAATTAGTTATACCTTTAATATTTACCATTGGTCATGTCATTTCTCCATCTGGCGTTGCTTATTACATTAGTTCTCATGACTAATCAAAATTAATAGCATTACCCATCGATTTTAATAAAATAAATCAATAAATCAATATATATATATATATATTTAATAGTTATCAGGTAGAATGTAGATGATCATGTTACTCATTAATTATGTAAATTATTGTAAAGATTAGTTTATTGATTATGTGGTTTCTTTGGTTTTTTTTCTTTTTCTTATTCTTTTCCCCTTTTCTTTTTCTTTTCTTTTTTGTTTTTTTTATTCGGAGACTTTTTGACATGGATTAAGATAGCATTAAAAAAACAAAAGATATATAAAAAAAACAAAAGATATATAACCGAAAAAGGAAATATTAAGATTCCGAATAGTCCTAATGTGGAATAGACGTTGATATACTGTGATATAGCATTATATGAGTAATAGCAACTACCGTTATTGAATGCTACTCAGCCAATAACTTGTTTATCTGGCAGCAAATTGAATATACGTCAGTTCTGGGCCCCTTTGGGGCCCAGAAGCTGACATATTAGATAATGAAATTATCTTACAAATAAGTATAAGATATTGGTCATGCAACGATTAATATCATGCAAATGATTGGCTTACATGTGCCGCGTAACGGCACGTTTCAGCCAATCATTTGCTCCGACAGAACAAATTTTGTGATATTTATCATCGCATGATCCAATATCGATGTTATCGTGCAATTATGATCATGATTTACGAGTCGTGGTTGGCTAACTGAGTTTTAATTCGGGATTGTTGTGCTAACGTAATAACGTACAAAAATTAATAAAAAAATCTATGATCATAAGAGTTTGCACGATAATTTCCGTTATCTGACAAACTCTTATGATCATGAATTTATTTCTGTCTGTTATTTTTTTCATGTGTTACGAAATATTTACATTTACTCGAATTAAAACTCAGCCGACGACTCCCTACTAATCATGATCATAAATTATCGGATAACACCATTATTCGGCAAATTACCGTTATTCAAAAATTTTTGCCGAATAATGTATACTTATTGGCTGCTTCGCATCCAATAACTATATAGTACGTATCAAGTATAATATCGAGTTATAATTATCGAATATTGATTGATTAAATGATCATTATGATTACAGGATTATTTTATTTTATTTTATTTTATTTTATTTTAAAGTTTTTCTTTCTCAGCCTACAAAGCCAAAAACGAACGAAACAAAAAAAAGGTTCGTATTTCGCGTTTTGAATCATGACCAAATTAACCAGCAAAGAAAAATCAATGATACCAATTAAATACCTATACATATAAAAATGAATAAAAATACCTATTATAAAAATGAATAAAAATAAAATACTCGGGTTATTATATTATAACAAAAAATATATTATACGTATGCATTTATAATGCCGCAAGACATACAAGACACATATTACAAGACATACAGTACAGTAATAAGTAGTAATAAACAGCAGAGACCGTTAATGTTACACATATGTTAAAACTGGTGAGGGATTATATCCATCACAATTGAATCCAATATAAATAATTTAATTTGTGATTGAGAGGGATTCACTCTGGATCGGGGTGTTTGTAGTAATAAGTAATAGAAGCCGCAAACTATCAAAGGAGAAACAGACGTATTACATTCAAAGCCAAAAAATGATGAATTCTCAGAGATGACTCAGGACCAGTCGATAATGAGAAGCTAAGAGTTTGATTAGATGCTTTGACACACAAACACATACATGCATCATCTGGACAAAGTCAAAATAACGATTATTAGATGCTTTGGCACACAAACACATACATGCATCATCTGGACAAAATCAAAATAACTATTATCTTTGTACATGCAGAAATGTTTGCAGAGCATCACCTGATATAAAGATGTGACAAATGGTTTCATCATTTCTT